CTCTTATACACATCTAGCCCCCCCTCCTTCCCCTGCTATGAACTGTTGCAACTTGAAATACAGACCTCAGTTTGAACCCAGATGGAACCAGATAGATTTTCCTAACAGGTCAGCGGGTATGCTGCAACCCTGCCTTAGAATGAAAGGCTCGTAGAATACAATGAATGCTTCGGTCTCATGCAGTCGATGCACTCGTTCTTCCTTTGGGCTCCGGTGACCAGAGACCCTTTGCTTTGGGCGCCCTCCTTCCTGCTCCAGCTTCCAGCTTCTTGACTCTGGCCCACCAGTCCACCTGGAATCATCCGGACCTCCATCGGAGTCCATCGTCTTTTAAATTGTAACTTAAAACCGCCAGTACACCCGGTCCTGCAGGCAGGCCCCTTGCTGCGCGCGCCAAGTTTTTCGGAATCGCCAGCTGCGCAGTTTTTTTTTTTTGTTTTTTTTTTTTGGCTGGCACCGCCAGCCATTGTGGTCTGGTAGGCCAAGCCTCCTCCGACTTTTTCGTAGGGCCTACGAGTTTCTTTTTGTTTTTCAGCAAGGCTGGGGCCGTGTACTGCCAGTTTAACGTTGTGTATGCCCTAAGCCCTTGGCTGTGTAAGCGCGCCTTGTTTTTTGTGCCTGCTCATGATCGCGTCGGCAGGTAACGCACATGTGTTTGTTCCACACTGTGTTCTATCGGATACCTTCAGGCGACGTTGGAGGTAGGTGAGAGCTCCTTTTTTTTGTGACCTGTTCTTGTTCTTGATGTGGTTGGTGACTTATGATTGTTGTGCGTGTGCTAACGTACGTACGTGCTGTTTTGGGTTATCGGCGAGATGCGATTGTTGTACATGTGCGAACTTGCATGGCTTTGTTGACCGGATGCGTTCAGGCGACGTTGGAGTCTGCCAAGGGTTCCCTGGAAACCGTGGAACGAGAAGAACAGCAGTTAAAGGTAAGAGGGGAGGGGAGGGGGGGGGGGGCGGGGGCTGTTGCTGGTGGTGGTGTATGCGAAGTGCGTGTGGGGCCTTGATTTGTCGTTCGATATGTGCTGGGAAGACTCCTTACCTCTGTGGATTGGAGATGGACGAGGTGGAGATTATTGGGAGAATGGAGGAGGTCATTGGGAGAATGGCGAATCACCTTATACATCATGCGTGGTTACGGGGCACATTGCACACAAATGTAGCGACAAAGGACAGTATAGCATATGGGTCATGGCCCTCATGGGGACTGAACAAGCAGGCCGATGGTGGGGTAGGGATCGAAGAGAGAGAGAGAGAGAGAGAGAGAGAGAGAGAGAGAGAGGAATGGTATCGGAGGTACATGGAGGTAAGTAAGGGATCTGAAAATTATGCTCAGCTTGTCGTGACTCCTCAATGAGGCTCACAAAGGGAAAAAGGTAATAATGAGCAGCAAAGTAACCAAAGGCAGAGTTGCATACCAACTGATCGCTGGCGTCAACTGCTGGCAGTTTTGCAGCCTATATCCATAGGGCCGACTGGTCGGCGGTCTACCAACCAGTCTGTAGAGGGCCATCCACTGACTTTTTTTCAAATCTGAGTTCGGGGTTGTACTGCGCTTGCTGAGTGCAGCGAAACTCCGGAGGAGCTTTTGGGCATTTGGGGGGGCCGGGGAGGGGTAGGCTGCTTGTTCTGGATGTCTTTTTTTTCACTTTGCTTTGTTTCTGTTAAGCTCGGCTACCAGGACATGTGGGATTTTTTGGGAGGCGAGCTGCGGGTCGAGAATAGGACTGCTCCTGTGTACAGTGTCCAGATGATGAAGAATGAGAAGAAGATTTGGGACTGTGAGGTACTGGGGTTCCAAAACGGGCAATCTTACCGATCGCGGGGGAGTAAGGTGCTCAAAACAGCGCAGTGATTGCTAGTCGATTTTTTGGAAGTGAAACAATTTTCAATCCTTTGCTTCGCGCCACTACATGTTATCTGCCTGCAACACGTGAATGCATCTAACATGTGTGTGACATGGTTGCATCCCTGCCGACCGCCGACCGTATTGCAGCCGACCCGTAGGGCCGACCGGTCGGCGGTCTGCCGACGAGTCAGAAAACAACCATCCACTAATTTCTTTTCAGATCTGAGTTGGAAGCTGTACTGCGCTTGCTGAGTACAGCCCAAATCCGCTGACAAACTTTTGGGGATGGGGGGGTTGGGGCTGGGGTGTATAGGGGGATATAGGGGGGTATAGGGGTGGTATAGGCGGTATTGGGGGGGGKTATGAGGGGGTTGGGGGCCGGTTTGTGGGTGTTGGGGGGGGGTATGGGGTGGGTATGGGGGTGTTCGTGGGGTTATTAGGGGTTCTGGACCCGAACTTTTTTTTTTTTTTTTTTGCGGACAGCCGACGACCCCCGACCGGCAAGTGCCGACCAGCCGACCAGTCAGTCGTTGAACTAACTATTAAATTCGTATTAATCAATATGGCAATAAATATAAATTCATTAAATGTAAATCTTTAATCATAAAATATGCAATCTAATAATTGTAATAGTATATAAATATTTATTATACATAGATTTTGTCGCCGGCAGTCGGCGTGTGCAACACTGGTGTGTGACTTGAAGTATGGGTTTGTTTGATCTTTCCATAGCATATTGCCGTATAGCTTCATTTGTCTTTTCCAGGAGCTTGTTAACTGCTTGGTAAAATTCTTGTGAACTCCTGTTAACTGCTAGGTTAACTTCTTGTTAACTTTCTGTTAACTTTTTGTTAACTGCAGTTAACTTTAACTTTTTTAACTTTCTGTTAACTGCAGTAAACTTTCTGTTAACCTTTTGTTAACTGCAGTTAACTTTTTGTTAACTGCTTGTCAAGTGGTTGTTAAGCCAGGCTGCTTGTTCTTGATGTTACTTGAATACATTCTCTAACCTTTGCAGTTGAGTTCAGTTAACTGCAGTTGAGTTCAGAAAAACACTGCGTATACCTACTTGAATACATAAGCTAGTTAACTGATGTTAGCTGCATTGTCTTTGCTGGTCTTCCCCTGCGTTGCTGTAGTTGTGTGTCTGTCATTCGCTACCTTCGTCACCCGAATACAATGTACGGTCATGTATTGCTGTATGTATTTAGACCGAAAGATACCCAAATACATACGTTGTATTCGGGTGAGGAAGGTAGGTGCTGTGGAAAGCTTCAGCCTTGCCGTCAAAAGTTGCAACCTTGGTGTTGAAGGGTTGAACTTTGGGGGTCGAAAATTTCAAAAGGATTTAACCTGGCTGTCAAAAATCTCGACTTCGCTGTGGAAATTCTCAACCTTGGCTGTTGATTTTTTTTATTTTTATTTTTATTTTTTTTAAATATTTAGGGGCCATGACAATCCTTTCTGTATCGTTCCAATTTCAACGGATGTCCCGAGGGACTGCTGTCGAAAAAAAATCTTAACCTTTTTTTGTTGGAAAATCTCAGCCTTGCTGTCGAGAATCTCGACCGTGCGGTAAAAAATCTCAACCTTGCTGTCGAAAATCTCAACCCTACTGTCAAAAATCTCAACCCTAGTGTCAAAAAAGTTTTTCAACCTTTTTTTTTTAATGCGGTTAAAGTTTAAAGTTTCCACCTTTCTGTTGTTGAAGTTTCTGCCTTGTTGCCGTTCCCCGCGCCGTATTTCGTACAGTTCAATGCTACAGCTCATTGCTCGGATTCTGCTTGGTACGACAAGATTGAGGAAATCTCTTTTTTTTCCATTTTTTCTTTTCGTCGTCTTCCCAGAAAAAAAAAAATATGTTTTCAGAGGGCAACCTAACATGGTGGAAATCTAACTTTTTCGTTGTTTCCCCCAGAAATTTCTGTTTTGTGAGGGAAGCCTGACATGGTAGACATCCAACCCTGTGTTGCAGCAAAAAGTTGAGAAGGAGAAAGCACTCGCAGAAGTAGAGAAAGAGAAGCGCAGACAGGAAGACAAGCAACGTGCTGAGGTCAGGCTGTGTTCTCCAACCATGCGGTCCCTTGTTCCTTCTCTTTTTCTTTTTCTGATTTGCACCGTTTCTCTATTTATGCTTGTCATGCTTGCGCAGGGCCCATGCCAATCTTCTCTGTATTGTCCTTTTTTTTTTTTTTCCTTCTTTTTTTCAAATGCAGGCTTGTGTTCTCTTGTTCTGGACCGTTTCTCGATCTATGTGTCTCTGTCCTTGCACAGGGGCCATGCTTATCTTCTCTGTATCGCTCCAATTTTAACAGATGTCCCGAAGGACGCAGGCTTGTCTTCTCCTCATATGGGGGACATCCACATTTTTTACTATGATATCATCCTCTCTCAGTACTGTACCTCGCACTACCCACCCTGGGCAAGCGAGGTATCAGGACACATCCACACACCAAGGGGATCTAGGCTCTAAGACTAGAGTCCAAGGCGCAGGACACAAGCTGGGTGGCCCTAACAGTTATGGGTTGGCACCGACCTACTCCCGTGTCTAAAAGCTCCGCAGCTTCCTGCTAACCCCAGGCAATGGATGGGAGGGGAAGGGTAAACCCCCTACCAAGCCCTACCAGGGGGGGGCAAGCCAACTAACTCAGCTGACGAACCCGTAGCCAGCCGCAGGAGACTGCAGGGGATGGAATGAAGATCGCGGGGAATCCAACCCGCAACCTCCTGAATGCCAGTTTTGTGCGCTACCAACTGAGCTACGGTGCCGGCCCCAATTTTATTTTTTACCGATACATATGAAGCCCCGTTCCTTGTTCCAGTAGAACAATCGACGGAGCAGCAGAAGCTTCCCACCATTTAAAAAAAGAGGCTGGAGGAGGGGGAGGACACGAACCCACATGAGGAGGGAGTCTCCACGCTTGTGCTCGAACTGCTGTAGACGTTCTGCTGTGTTTTCGTAAAGCTGGCCTGAGCTCACAGATCACACCTGTCAGCATACCTCTGCTAACCGTTGGAGACCCTTGGTAAGCCTTTTGGCCCCTGGAAACCCCCATTTACTCCTGGGGACCCCTGTTAACATTGGGTAATATTCTGCATCTGTCTGTGACCCTCACTAGCCCTCAGTAACACTCAGGTTACCCTTGGTGATCCTCACCCACCCTGGTGACCTCTCAGTAAAGCAGTGAGCGCTTCGCTACCCTTGATAACCTTCGGTAACCCTCTGTCATCCTGGGTAATTTCAAGTACCGCTGGCAACCCCCCAGTGACTCTTGGTAACCCTGTGTTAGTTCCGCTACCCTTGTTGACTCTCCATACCCCTCGGTGACGCTCAGGTCACCCTTGGTAATCCTCACCGACCCTTTAACCCCTTAGCAACTCTTGGTGACCCACTGCAATCCGCTCGTGACACTCTCAAAACCCCTTTGGTAACCTTCAGAAATGCCCTATAATTCTGTGTGACCCTTGGTAATCTTCAGTTAAGCCCGGAAAGTTGAGACCCTTGATAAACCACCGGTACTTCCGAAAGTTGCGGCGGTATTAAAGCCACGATGTGTTGGGATGAAAGGATGTGTTGGGATGAAAGGACCTGGGGCGCTCGTATAAATTCAATGAAGTGGAAACGCCGTGGCACTGTAGCAATGGGTGTACCAGCTGGGACTTCTGGACGCACGGGTGGTTTAAGCCTCCTTTTAAGTTTTAAAGCCTCCTTTTTAAGCCTCCTTCCGCTGGATTGAGCAGGAACTTCAATCATTAGCTGAACCGCGTTGTTATCTTCATAAAGCAGTTTCTTGTCCGTAATTTGCACCCTTTTCAATGTTTTCACTAATGAACTCTGTTTTCTTTATTAATTTAACCCATCTAGTACCATCTGGATTCGAATGCAGGTGCAGATACAAACAATTCATGGGTGTACCAACACAGCTAGGCCACTAGGTGCTTTGTTTTTGGCTTTTCGTTTCTGCCATTTCATGGCTAGTTTTGCGTTTACTTTTCTAGGCTTTCTTTTGAATATAAGAGAGGGGGGGGGGGGGGGGGGGGGGGGGGGGGAGCGAAAGAGCACTTGGGGGGTGTTTTTTGAGCTTATGGACATCGTTGACGGTCTTGTGCCGAGATTTAGGGCCAAGCTCCATGGTGCGGTATGTTTGCGCTTGGAAAGCATGGACCTGGTTGTGGCATTGGCATCGTTCGTGCTAACATAGCACAAACATAGCACCGGTGGGATCACGTCATCACACCCTTCGTCCAGCTTTACTGTAGGTTTTTTTTTTTTTTTTAACTTCCCGTCGTTCTGGTTGGAAAATGATAGCTGGCACTGGCGGGTGGTGTTTCAATGAGAACAACAAGGATCTGGTGACGTCTTATTGAAGATTTTGAAGTTTTGCTCTGTCTTCTGTTTTTGCCCTGGTCCTGCAGGAGGAAAGAAAGCGGCGCCTTGAGAGAGAGAAGCGGGCATTGGAGTTCGACCAGAAGTTTGAAGAGCTCCGGGTGAGTCCTGCTGCCTTTTTCTTTGCCAAAGTGTTTTCTAAACTTTTTTTACTTTTCTGTCTTTCTTTCTTTCTTTTTTTTTTTTTTTTTTGAACAGGTCCTTAAGGTCCTGGCTCCATATCCATTCTGGGGAGCGTCAGTCCGTTTCCTATTCTCCCGGCAAGTCAAAATTGAATATATAATAGTACCCGCCCACGCTTCCTTCCGTCTGGCTGAAGGAACCCTGACCAGCATTGATTGCTCCTGCTAAGGAGGATTGACCGTCAGCTTGCCCAGACCACTTGTTCCTCTCAGGCTTCGATTCAGAGCCTGTCAGATAATTCTTTGCACAGTGAGAACAGCGAAAGGGTCCGCTCCAAGCTCTGTTGTTTGTCATTGTCCTTCTCTGTGTAGCCTTTGAGTATTGATCGCAGTTCCGACCCTTCTGCCGGGTAGCCCGGTGGGGCCCAATAGTCATTGTGGTATAGCCTTGTGCCATTTCTTCCATCTCAATCTGTTATCTACTATTGTGGCCACGTTGCCCTTTAGCAGCCATTCTCTCTTGAATGTCTACTTCCTGGTTGCTTGTCGGTATTTTCTGGCATCTGCTCCTGATTTCTGTCTCTGCCATGCTCAGTAGTAGAGACCACATTTCTTCCTTTGCCACCTCTGCTTTCTCGATTGTCCGGGTGCATCTGCGCTTCCATATTACCCACAGTGCCAATTTCCTGAGCAGGAGGAACCAGACTTCCCTGCTGCCCTTAATGTTGCTGGGAGTGTTAGATAGCAGTAAGATGGAGAGGGGAGGGATGTTGGCGGGGGGTGTGTTGAGAACAGGGTCGACCAAAGCTCCCGGACCTTCTTCCAGATCCATTTTGCTTCTGGACAGGATAGGAGGCAGTGAGGGATGTCCTCGGGTGAGTCGTTCTTGCACAATGAGCAGCATTCCGAACTCTCCGGGTCGGAATGCTTCCTTCTTGCATGTAGCCAACTTTTCTTTCTTTCTTTCTTTCTTTTTTTTTTTTCTTTTTCTTTTTTTTTTTTGTTGAAGGTCCAGTGTAGTATGAGGAATGAGCCCTCGTGGGGCCCTTATCAGACATACATGTGTTCTGAGCCATGACCCCTAGCAAGCCTGTGGCCGCCCTAAGTGAAGGCGGGCCTGAATATCAACGAGAAGCCTGTTTTCAACATTTTTCCATATGTGGGGATTCGGACAGTTGCAGCACTCCAGTTGGTTACAGAGCAACGTGACCCTCCAGGCTTTTTTCAGAAGCAAGGGCTGCGCTGTACAGTTGAGCCCAGGGCTCAGGTGGTTGTGCCCTGGGCACACACTGTGTGAGGGCGACACATCACGGACTGGCTGCGAGCCAATGAGAGAGCAGCATTGCCATCACACTTGAGTCAAGAGCCAATGGGAATGCTGCGAACACGGGGAAGCTGCGTGGCTGCTCAAACGTGCCCAACTGGACGGGGCCCAGGCCAGTATCGCAAACTGGGCCTGAGCGCAGACACTTGGGGCCAGAGGCAAGCTACTGGGCCCCCCACATGCCTGGCTAGGCCAGCCAGACATGGGCACACTTTCCATAAAGGAAAGTGTCTGGCCCAGCACTCGGGACTCTGGCCTGTGCAGGCATAGCGGCCATGCTGCTGCACTGCACTGCGAAGCTGTGCTATGCGGGCAGGCTGGGGCGCGCGCGGGCGCTAAGTGGTGAGGGCACTTCGGTGGCAGTGGGCGCACGGTGGCCACAGAGTCTCATGAAAATAATCGTCGGTGGTGTCATCGTCGATTATTAGATCTTGCCACGTGCCGCCGGTTCTCCTCCTGATCCACCACCGTGGTGTTTCCTGCGGAAGAACTCCTGACACGATGGTATTCGCCATAAGGAAAGGCGCATCCCAAACAACAGCGGAGGAATGTGAATCCGCCATGGCCCGTGTGACGATTGCCTCCCTCGCCCCCAAGTTAATTGTTTGAGTGGTTTTCCTTTCCAGCAACTGTTTTTCATACAGCTTCGCTTGAAGGCGTTCCCGGATTTTCTTGGTAGAGGCAACTTCGTTGCACTTGCCGCTGTCTGTTGTGGGTGCGTCGACACAGCGAGCAACGCTGTCACCACCATCCACCTCTCTTGCTCTGACAGCTCTCAGCAATGCGGTGCAGACCCCACTGCTGAGGTGGAGGCAAACTGTACATCGTCCATGGCCAAGCTATGACGGTTCCCGGAACCCCACGGCGCACCGAACGCCAGCTGGTGATGCAAATCGGCCATGGTGACCACCACACACGCACGCGTCAAACTTCAGCAAAACCCGTCTTCACTTCCGCGCGTGTGCCAATCTTGTATGCTGCGGAGCGCCATGCTGAACCGGCCTCATATTTCAAAGTTTGAAACCCGCCGTGTCCGCGCTCCCACGCAACACGCCGCCCCGAGGCGAACCCTGGAGTCCTGAACACCCCACCACAGGCGGACATCTTCAGGGCCGGGTGCCGGCCTGCTGGATTGCATGGCCACAAGCAGGTCTCTGCAGAACGGGGAACCAGGGAGTTTTCCTTTCAAGTGCATCATTTTCAAGAGCGGCCTCTAGTGCGCATGGAACGAGGAGGCAGCGTAATGTAAATTAATCACAATTTTGTGATAAGGGCGCAGTTGAAACTCGAGAGGTCTCTAGTGGTGTGGAACGAAGCTCTTAGAACTGACCAGCCGCAGGCAATTCAGAGATTTCTTTTGTTCTGCTCAGCTGATTGCATCTGGATTTGAATTTGGGTCTGTATTTCAACAGTTACAGGTGTAGCAACTGAGCCAAACCTGCTGGTTGACCGGAGGTGTTTTTTTTTTTTTTTTTTTAGGGGCGATGGCCTTGAGGTATATTATCATTGGACTAACCAGACCAGGTAAATTCATTGCCTTCAGGGAACCCCCAATGGGGGACACCGGCCAGGGGACGGCCGGTAGCAGAGGGACCGAGCATCGTCGGAGTGGCCGGTCGCTGTGCCTCCCCGAGTACCCCTCCCCCTGTGAACATAAGCAGGGACTGCTTTTCAATGCCAATAGGGGGGACCAAGGGGCTATCTCTAAGTGGCGGGCGCCAATTATTGCCCAGGAAGGTACATGAGGCCAATGGGGATTGAACCCAAGACCTCCTGAATGGCACTTGCGTGCCTTACCAATTTGACCAGAGGCGTGAAGAGCTCCTGGAGGGGAAGACTAATATATACGAGTCGGTGAAACTCCGACGAAACAGTTTGTCACAGCCCCTCGTTTGTTGTCCTCTTCTCCCTCTCTGCCTACGGTTTACCGTCGGCAGTTCTATTTGACGATATATATATATATCTATATATAAATTTGCAAAATACCCCCCGCATAAGTTGAGATATATGCCAAAATGCCCCTGAAAGGTGTGAGTAGAGCGGAATGCCCTTTTGGGCCAAAATCTGTGTTATGCCCCTGTCTTCCGGGTGTGCAAATTTGCAATCTGGAGCTTGCCGTTTGGGCCTTGGCCTTTTGCAAGTGGGCTATTTTGCAAAGTTGGATGGTACCCGGTAGAGGGGTATATCGCAAAGATGGGGGGGGTCCAACTGACGCGAGGGGTATTTCACAATTTTGTTTTTTCTGTCAGGGGGGGCATTCCACTCTACCCAAATCTTTCAGGGGCATTTTGGCATCTACCTCAACTTATGGGGGTATTTTGCAAATTATCCCAAGTTTTAATTAATCAAATTTAATAGTTTGCTTAAATTTGAAGTCCATCGGCATCCCTGCCCCCCGGCCAAAAAAAAGGAGAAAAAATAAAATAAAATTATTCCTGATATTGTCCAAACTGCCAGGTGAAGGGATCACCCCAACTACGCCCCCCCCCTCCCCCCCCCCCC